AAGTCTTTTTATTTTTGCCCTCTAAACAGGTCCATGTTTAAAATATACATATTTATGTATGTGTATGTAAAATTTGTATTTACTTTTCACTTATTTAAGTTTGTTTCATTTATTTAACAATAATATGGTAGATTATGTATGCATACATACATATTTATTATATTGTTTATACATCAGCCCCTAATTAGTATTATCASAACTTGCCATTTGATAAGAAATTCATAYTTTTTCCCCATTGATTAGGACTCAAGAATAATAAATTAGTTACTCTGGAAATAAATCGTGAGTCATTTAATCTACTACATCCTCTACTTTTATTTTCGATTTATGATAGGCAATTACAATTGTTATATTTTSCGTGCACTTATATTTATGACGGTGTTCATACTTAAATAATAATRTACTTGAAAGAATACATAGAAYTTACATATACATATATAATTTACCAGAAATTTCAAATTCTACTCGAAAAAATATATRCGATTTTTTATTAATTCAGTTTCGGCGTTATCTAAAGTATTCTCTGATCACAACGCCACTATTTCATCTCAAAAATTGGGATGTATATTAGGAAGCACCTTGTATCTAACTTAAAAGACAAACTTTGTGTAAAATTATTGATAATTTTTTCCTATTTAGATAAGTCATACCTTTAAAAATAACATACTGACATTTTGAATCGATATTTGAAATCGTTTTGATCTCACAGCCTTCTAAATGCAACCTCTCAGCACCAACACCTTATTTTTAAATACGTTTTCTTGGGAAAGCATTTTTGGAATTTGCTAGAGTAATTACTCGATGACAAGTGGACCACACATCAAATTTTATCTGCTAGAATGGTTTTTTGAATTACCAAAAATCGACTCTTTTAGGCTGTCATACTAAGTGTGCTCCATTATACAATTAGGCTCTCCTACTCATAACTCTCCGGATTCACCATAAACTATCTTGTAACTAACTTTGAACTCTTTTTTAACTTGATTTTAGGACTTAACCGCCTTTAACTACGTTTTGTATCGATTTAAAAATTKTATCACCTTGTTATTAATCCATAATTTTTATTATCTTCATTCCAGGAATCACTTTCTTTAGCMCACTCACTATCGGACAAACCACTGCCGCATTCACCACTCATACCAAATTGCTTGGAAGGTGGCAAAGTTTCAGATCGTTTGGGTAAATTGAAAACATCTTCGGAGAAGTGGAAGGATCGTATTGGTAAGTAAGAGACTTTAAAGATCATTTAAGTCGTGTTTTAGATCTAAACTTGAGAAATCAACATTAATGGTTGAAAAAAAAAAAACATACCCATGAGGACATAATAATATTAATAGTATTTAATTTGTAATGGCAAAAAATGATCCCATCTATCTTTTGTGGCGCGACTATGACTAACGCAGTACTTTTTTTTCTAACATCAATTGATTGGAGATGATCCTTAAATTGCGGTAAAGCATGATCGTTTAGCGATCTCAACAACGTCTTACTACATTTTGTCGGGTGGTTCGATGAAAAAACCCTTGACTCCGGAGTTGAATGCATTGAGTTTGCAACTTCCTTTGGTTAGGTCCTAGATTTGCATCTCGTTAGCGGCGGTTGCATTGCTGATGTGTAAAAGAGTCTCCTTGGAAGCCTTCAGGCATTCTTATTACCTAYAGACTAAGATTAATAAATGAGGAATGCACCGCGGCCTTAGGTCAATTGTGACCGATAGACTATCCCTTAATTATTTATAATATTAAATGAGTTTTTYTAATAAGTCCCGGATCGAGCTTTATAACTCGCTATATCACTGATAATCTACTTTTTGATTGTCGTAGCCCTCACAGCTCTCTGCTGTTCCTCAAGATCGACTTTGAATCGTTCTCTTCCATATTTTTTACCGAAAGCGAACTTGCTTCACTTAAAGCTTGTCTTTTAACACTMTTCATTATTTCGCCCCCCTCTTTACGCAGAACAATCTGATGCCTCAAAGTTCACAGTCGCTGGCCGTCTGCAGAAGAAAGCACAGTCACCGATTGAGCTACAATTTGAGCGCGAACAAAATGCCGAACCGAAAAAGTGTCCCATRCATGTGGTGCGCAGCGCCAATCAACCACAACTTGGACTCGCCAAGAGTCCATCGATGATGGTGACAACCAATACGAAYGGTGGCACCAACGGTGGCACGAATGGCCATCATAATTACCTGCAGCGCAGCTTGAGCGTAACAGCCGAACGTCCCAATAGCGAATCGGCCAACTCTAGCTCTGACTCCGACTCGGATGGACGCTGCAATGAAAAGGAGACGAAGAATAAGGCGAACACAATGAGTGCTGCCGCAGAGCGTGCTTTGGGTACACGTGTTGCGGTGCCGAAGTTGGACGACGAAGAGACATTCGAGAAATTCTTTGCATCAAAGAAACAAGCACCCATACAGACAACCGTTATTAGCGAAGATGCCGAAGTGCACGATTTCGATTTTGATAGCATCAAGACGACACAGCGGTGAGTATTAGCGGTTTTTATTGTTTATTTTTTTATATATTTAATTGTTATATTTTTTTCTGTTTTGTTTTGGTACCGTTGTGTGAAAAATGTCAAACAAATAGAAAAGTCAAAATTCGAAATTAACTTCAGCTCATCAAAATTTACTGCTCCTTTTCTTACAGTTTGGTTACAAAACGTACCATACAAGGTCCGAAGGGCAGACGTGCAGCACGCAACCCACTCAAGAGTTTAGCCGAACGCAGCGATATCACTTCCGAGTATACCGAAGTTAAGTCTGGTGTGGCTGAACGTGAAATGCGTCGCTTGAAGCTCGAGTCGTGTAAGTAGCGCATGAAGAAACGAATGACGTCAAAACTTTTCAAAGAAAAAATGCTCAATTTATGCTACCTTTCGCTTTCAGATGGTCATCGCAGCAGTAACTTGGCGGCCGAGGCCATCGCCGGGCTGGCATCCGTCGAAGATTTCAAATCGGTTGCTTTGAAGTCCTCCGCGCTGCCACTTAATCAAATGTGGGTTCCCTATAAAAAGCTTATGTTGCTGCATGTCAAGGGCCGTACGCACGTGCAGACGCGCTTGGTTGAACCTACTTACAAGTCGGTGAATCGCGGCGAYTGTTTTATACTCGTGCATGGTGATCAATTGTACCGTTATGTCGGCTCGTACGCTAATGTCATCGAAATTGCGCGCAGCAAGAAAATATGCGCCTATATAGTCGAGAACAAAGATCTCGGTTGCACCGCGTCTGCCGAGRTCATACTCACCGATGGCAAATTCTTAAATGAACGTCACTGGAAGAAATTCTGGGAGCTGCTGGGCAAACCGGAAGATTATATCATACCCGATTGTGGGCATGCCGATGAAGATGATCTCTTCGAAGCAAGCCTCATAGAGACCAACAAAATCTACGAGTTCCAAGATGATTCATTGGTGCCGATGGAAAAGTACTGGGGCTGCATACCGAAAGTTGAGATGCTCGACCCCAACAAGGTTATCATTTTCGATTTCGGCAGCGAAATGTATGTGTGGAATGGCAAGACGGCGTCGACAAATGCCAAGCGTGCYGCCATTAAGTTGGCACAAGAGCATTACGACACCGGCGATGTGGACTACTCCAGCTGCTACGTCAATCCCGTTAATTATGCAGCCATTGTAGGTAATCGCGAGTCTTATAAATTCCTRCGGCGTTGTGAGAAGCGCGGCGACTGGTGTATTTTGGGTAAAATCACACAAAATATGGAAACTTCGCTTTTCAAGGAGAAATTCTCCGATTGGCCGGAAGTGGAGCGTGAAGATCTGGAAAAAGATTATCTCGTAAATGGTGTGCATGCGGTGAAAGCGCTCGATGGACACGTGCTCTACAAGGGCGAACCTTATCTTGAGCCTAATTTAGTGTTAGAAAACGCCAATTTGGGGCGTGGCAACTTCTATTACGACAACGACAGCATGCGCCACTTCGATGTCATCACAATATCCACCGACAAATGGCAGATACACGAGTTCAACTTCGAYAACGCCAACGCTAGCAGTTACGGACACTTCTACTCGGCCGAAAGTTACATTGTGCGTTGGGTATATCAGATTTCGGTGACAGTGCGCGAGTTGAGTGGCAAAATCTCCAAACGCGCCACCGTCGGACGCGATCGTTGTGTATATTTCTGCTGGCAGGGCAATGATTCCAGCGCCAATGAGAAAGGTGCTGCCGCGCTGCTCACCGTCGAGTTGGATAAGGAGAAGGGCGCACAAAAGCGCGTGGCACAGGGCGATGAAACACCCGCTTTTATAAGGCTCTTCAAATTGCTATTCCAGCACAAAGGCCGTAAGGATGATTGCCTAGAACGTCGCAACACATGGCGTCTCTATCAGATCACTGGCAATGTGCCGGAGGAGACGCTRCTCAGCGAGGTGGACTGTCATGCTCGTCAGTTGCGTTCWCGCGCCTCCATGTTGCTTGTGCACGGCGATAAGGGTGTGCTGTACGTATGGCATGGCTGTAAGAGTGCCAAACATACACGCGATGTGGCTGAGCAGGCGGCAAATCACTTGAAAACCGTGAAACCGGAGGATTTATTCACCGATAGTGTGAGCGTGGTGCAGGTGGAGACGGTGGAAGAAGGCAAGCGTGCKAACGAGTTCGAAGCGGCATTGAGCGGCTACGATAGCAACGCCTATTATAGCCTACTCAAAGAGTCAACCAAAGATTACGCTTATACTGCSCGTCTCTTCCATTTCTCGAGCACGCAGGGCGTGTTTAACGCCACGGAACTGCAATATGCGCTGCGCTGCCAGGACTTACACAGTCCGTATCCATACACGCAGGCGCAACTGTACAACGCACGACAACCGACCATCTTTATGCTCGACGACGGTGATATGCTGTGGCTGTGGATGGGCTGGTGGCCGCTGGAGGATCTCAAAAGTAAGTTTGTTGCGCCGCTATTGTTGTTGTAATATAAAAATAATAAATTACTTTATTTWAATTGTTTCAGTAACCACTGAAGAGCGCAGCAGTCCAACGAATGAGAATCGCGCTGGCGTGAATCGTTGGATATCGGAGCGACGCGCTGCTCTGGAGACAGCCGTCTCTTACTGGTGCGCCAAATTTGGTATGTGCGCGTAAAGTTGTTGGGTTTGCCACAGTGTCAATTATTATTTTTTTTTAAATATATTTTTTAGGTGAAAATAACGAAAAAGACTTCCATGACATTAAAGGTTATGTCGTATGGGCTGGCCTAGAGCCATTGGCCTTCAAAGCCCTCTTCCCCGATTGGATTGAGCGCGATGATATCAAAGAAATAAACATGCAGGTGGGTAAAGATCGAAGTTTTAGTAGTATATGTTGTTCTAGCGCTGTCTTCTAGCAGGAAAAAGCAAATGGCGTGTTTATTGATCTTCGTATATAATAAAAAGATATATAAATATTTTTAGAGAGCATAAAATTAACAAATTTTCTCATTTTGTAGGATGGCCGTACTGATGAACCCACCCCCATCACTGATGTGCTAAAACAACTAACCCAAACCGAATATCCGCTTGCCATMTTGAAGGAACGTCCACTGCCCGAAGGTGTGGATCCGACACGCTTGGAACTGTATTTGAACGCAGCGGACTTCCAGACAGCGCTCGGCATGACCAGCGCCGAATTCGAACAGATGCCATTGTGGAAGCAGACCAATCTGAAGAAGGAGCGCGGCTTATTTTAGTTTTATTAAAATGACAAAACAAAAACAACAAAACATTAAAAATAATATTTTGCTATTTAAATTAAATAAGTGAAATTTGCTTAAAGACTAGAACTGCTAACGTAAAAACAAGCAAAAAGAATGAAAGAGAAGAGAATGTGGCGCTTCGAAAACAAAAGAAAAAAGAAAACAGAAAACGCTAAACTTTGAGAATTATATTTTGTAATACTGTAAGCTTACATATTTGAGCGTGCACGCAAACGCACATGGGCACATGAACACAATCATTTTTGATATACATACATATATATWTGTGCATATATGCAATACAACAACCACTAAAATATTTAATAACTTTTTACATATTTTACAAGCTTACRAAATATATATACATATATACACAGAAAAAGCGAGCGATTGATTCTAATATATTATTATATACTTACATATATACTTAGGCCTCATCTACATACGATAAATATACAAGCATATATACTCTTAAATAAAATTAAATTTAAAAAGAAAAAAATAACAAAAGCTATATTATACAAAAGTTCTTAACACATGCAAACACTCACACACACATATCTAGCAGCTTTGCGCGCAGGCGCGTGCAAGTTTTTGATAAAATTTTACAATTTGCAAAGAGAATATCAAATGCAAGGTTAAATTATTAAAAAAAAATAAATTCTTAAAAAAAAAATTATTAAAAATATATGTAACAACCAAAAATTATGCAAGAAAATTGCGCAGCAACAACTC